TTCATTGGTTTAATCGAAAAAACGTAGCAATGAGAGAAACAAAATGAGAAACAATTTTTAACATTAGCAATCTTATTACATCTATTTAAATTTATTTCATTATCAGTAGGTAAGGAAAAGAAATTTTTTGATTTTTTTTCAGAGTGCTCACCAATACCAAGAGATTGAGTAACTTATCGGCCGTAGAAGAGTTTGAAATGTTATCATGGAAATAGCAACGTTTCGCTGCCCTTACAATGTGATTACAGCGATTGCGAGCCACTTTATACAAACGCCAGTTGTTGTCGAGTCATTGCCATGCGAATACCCCTCGTAATCCACGGAGCTGGAGGTCGCTTAATTCTAATAATTTTGTACCGGCGCCGGCGCATGGACGTCAAACAGTTTCAGAGTTAAATCAGTGAAAATTTAAATTTTATAGTCCACTGACGACGTACCATACACCGGAGAAAAATCTATCGACGACGCATCATTTTCTAAATTAACAGGGTCCATTCTGGCAAAGTTTCGTACCCAGATAGTGTCTGGCTTAGATTTAGGTGGTTTGTGGTGGTGGTGGTGGTGGCACTGGTAAGAGAAATTTAATCACAAGTGCCATTCAACATGCCGTATTCGTTGACGTTTGGATAGTATTATGCAACATGTTCTGAGAGACTAATGATGCCCGATATCAATATGCTGCTTTATTTATATATATTTATATCTGTTTGTTTATAAATAGGTGTAAGTCATTGTTTTACACACATAATATTAATTTCTTCTATCCTAAGTTTTTGTATCTTATGTATTTATAACTACTTAGTAACTTTTTAATACCTTGAAGCGTGCGGTGTACACCTATTGTTGGTATACTTAAATAGATAAATAATTAAGTATTAGAATTATTTAACATATTTGCTCCTTATCTAATTAATGTATACCTATCCACTTTGTATATTGTTACATTTACGGCACCCCATAAAAATCTCTCTGGATGACCTTTGAGTGGGTTGACTATTTTATTATAGGTAGGTTGGTAAACAATAAAAGTGAGAGAAATCCATGAAGATAACCATTTATTATTAAAAATAAAAAAATTACACTTAATAGTTGTGGTACTCTTTGAAACAATCATATTTTAAATAATAAAAATCTATCATATAAATCTTCACATAAATAATTATTATCTTTAAACAACTAGTTTTCATTTTTCACGTACCTACTTTAAATAAAATATGTATTTACTCTATTTTTCGGACCTAAGTGTATTCTAGCCATTGTTCATGTACTTAATTTTCACCGTGCGTGAAACTGACTGACGTGTCCAAAACAGAAAGGTTATGACCGGTGCATTTAGAAAAGAGTAAACTAACATTTAATGAAAATATTTTATTAAAAAAAAACATGCTAAGGAGACTCGTGAACACTGCCAGCATCTGTTTCATAATGAATATTTAATCGAAATGTTAGTAGGAACAAGCAGGAACTTAAAACGTTCCTACGAACTATGATGTGAGCGGAGGTCAGCAGTTGTATTTGAAGATACTACATACAGGAAGTCGATACGTAAACACTACAATGAAGATTTCGGCGTATGGACGAATGGCCTTGGATACTATAAATGCTACTGTGGAAGTAATACAAATAAGTTTCTATCTGTGGATTCATAATTTAAACCTTATATTTTTATTTGTAAAATGTAACGGCCAGTTTATAAAATATTTAGTAATTAAATACATTACGAATAGCAAATTTAACTTTATGAGTGTAAAAAATATTAAAAAATACTACACATGCATACATTTTGGAGTGATTTGTTCCATAAAACTGTCCAATAAAGTTTTTTACTGCAATGCCAACGAACGGACCGTATGCGTGCATTTGACTTTATTTTTCAAATACACTATGAAACAATGGAAAAGAAAGAAAAAATTAAGAATATTGATTACTTTTATCGCCTAATTTACTAATATATAATGAACACTCGTTAAAACTCAAGTTATTTTAAATTCAAAATAGACGTTCTCAGTACCAATCTTTTTTTCATTGTCAAAAAAATGTGTTTCCACATTTAAAACTTATTTCTAACGGTTAATGTTGCCATAGATTAAAATAAATTTCTACCGTTTTTATTTAATGCAAAAAAAACCTCAAGAAGTCACTCAACATTTACGGTGCGTTGGTGGCATGACATAGTAATCTCGATCAACGCAAATGGTTCGTTTGTGGCAATGAATGGGTTAAATTGGTAGTTATAGGGTCATCACACATAAAGTCGTATTTTTAACAAAGATATTGTAATATACTGCGTAAATTTTAATTAAACGAAGTTGCCTGACACGTGCTAATGTCACTTTGTGAAATAATGTTGCCAGGTTCATTGTAATAGTGATGGATTCAGTTAGTCAGTTAGTATTCGATGACTTGATGATTATGACTAAAATAAAATTAAGCTATCTTGATTGACATTGTGAAACTTGTTGACGAATATTATATCATTGAAATAAAGAAGAAATATTGTTCGTAGAATAATAATTTAATACTATTGTGACTCGAGGGGACGCTCTGACTTTCGGAACGCACCCTGCGCCCGCCGTGTCCGTCGCCATTTTGTGTGTCATTTGTCTTGTCATTCATTCGGCTTCTAACCTCTGATCGCCCGTCAAGCACGTCGCGCAAAAACTCTTTTTTCCCAAAAAAAGAAGAGACCACGGGCTTCTCTTAGCGTTACCGAAAAGCTTATGGTACTCAATGTCTAGAAATACGTATTTGAGCAGGAAACTCCTTCGGTATTACCTACAGAAGTACCAGGAAAGAATGTGTTTCTAAGACAGCTAAAATTTTGTCAATCGGTATGAACACAGTGTTCAGTGTATTAAAAGAATGCAAACAAAACGAGCAATTTAAGTCACAATTTAAGAATAAACATAATTTCAAGAATAAATTAGACGATTTCACCTTAGCGGCTATAAGGCGAAAAGTACACCAATTTTTTATGTAAATGAGGCCATGGTGGGTACCATTGCAAAGGTAACTATAGTGTTTTTTTTTTCACAGTATGTGTGCGTAAAGCTTGTTATAGATACAGTGTGCGTGAGACGAAGTCGACACGTCACGCAAACACAGCGTTTTTGAGGTTCTATTTGACTTTCTTCTATTGCGTAGACTTTCTTACTCATAATCTGTTTAAATTACAGATTCTTAAGGTTGTCAATGATAACCCAGATTTACCGAACTTCTCTTGGAGTACCTTGAGAAAATTTTAAAACACTTAAATTTCAAATACGCCACAAAATCAAGAAAAAGCGTGCTAATAGATACACGCGACATTGTTTTGTGGCGCCAGCTATACCTTCAAAAAATTAAAAATTATCGCAGGGAAGGAAGTTACATTTATTACCACGATGAAACCTGGATCAACGAAGGTAATTAAAATTTTCTCTGTTTTATTTATCTATTACAGTGCATGCCACCGGTGAATGTAATGAGTAATTAGTATTTTTCATTTTCTTGAAGGTCATACAACGAAGAAGCAATGGATTGACCAGACTGTACAATCGTCCCGGCAGGCATTCTTAGAAGCGTTGACTACCGGCTTGAAAGGGCCTTCAGGAAAAGGAAAACGGCTAATTATTAGCCATATAGACGGAGAAGAAGGATTTGTAGAAGATAGCTTATAGTCTATCAAGAAAGTCATGAAAAGAATATTTTTGGAACTAGTGCTTTTGCTTGTACTGGCGACAGTAAATTATTGTCAAACTGAGTAACTCAGCTGTCATATCGTAGCTTTGTAGTTGATGTGGTCTAAGGTTTTTTTGTTATATTTCGGGTTTTTCTTACCGTATGACCGTTTAGCAAAAATGAAACGCAGTGTTTATAAGAGCGGTATCAGACAAGTCATATTTAAAAATTTTCAAGAGTGTATGGCTGAATATCAAGCGAGAAAGTTTCTTTCCGATTTAGACGATGTTTACAGTCAAACAGCAAAGATAACTGGTACCTACATGTATTTTAATGTTAAACGCAATATAAATAATCGTTTTGTAATCTCATATGTATAATTTGTTTTTAGGTATAATTTATCCGTTTTATAACATTGTTTACAAATAGTTGAGGTTATGAAATTTATCTAAGAATTATACTACACAGTCTATAGTTTTGATCCTTTTGTATTATTTATTTAGATATGGGTAAGGTATTTATTATTTACATGCCTATATTGCTTTCAGGTGTTTCCGAAAGCACAATTCGGCGCATAGTGGAAGAAGGTTTGCAGAATGGATGTAAATTCGTCACGCCCGGAAAACACAGGCAAGGCCGACCTAAGAAACAGATCGATGATTTCTATCTATGTGCCATTCGTCAAAAAGTTCATTTTTTCTACACAGTGCACAAAGAAGTGCCTACACTAAGAAAACTATTGGCAGCGGTGAAGGAAGAATTATATTTTGATGGCAGCCATGAATTTTTAAGACAAGTTTTAATTTCTATTGGCTTTAAATTTAAGAAATGCCAAACAAACAGACTGGCTCTCATAGAAACACCAGTTATTGCTTCAAAACGTGAATATTATTTAAAGCACATCCTTGAAAACAGAAGATTGCCCAAAGAGCTCCAAAAAACATTATTTATTTGGATGAGAGCTACATACACGAGTCCTACAAAGTTTCTGAATGTTGGCAGTCTATTAATATTTCTGGTGTCCAACAAGATGTATCTAAAGGGAAAAGGTGGATAATTGTGCATGCTGGAAGTGAGATTGGTTTTGTGCCTAATGCACTATTAATATTTACTGGTAAAAACAAGCAAGATGATTACCATTCTGAGATGAACGCTCATAATTTTACAAAATGAGTAACTGAAAAGTTAGTGCCCAACATAACTGAACCATCAATAATTGTGATGGATAATGCACCCTACCACTCCATTATAACAAACAAGGTATCATAATATTTCTTTATTATAGTTTATTTTTGTTTTACCTAATAATGGTTTAACTAAAGTTTAAAATTTTCATAATAATGCAACATAAAAAGATAGGTAATAACTTATCTTTCTATGTTGCAACTAAAAATCAACTATTAAATTAAGTTTTTTTTTTGCCCCAGACACCTACATCTGCATCAAATTGAAATCAAATTGTGGCTATTGGAAAATGATATTCCATTTGATGAAACGTTGCGGAAACCATCCTTATTGATGCTTGTAAAAAAACATAAACCTGAACCGGCGTATTATATCGATGAACTCCTAGGGGAACATGGACATACAGTGGTAAGACTATCACCCTATCATTGCGATCTGAACCCCATTGAATTAGTTTGGGCAATGGTAAAAAGGTGAATCGCACAAAAGAATGTTTGTGGTCAAGATATGGAGAAGTTGGCTACTGAATCATTTCAGTCAGTAACTCAGCAAGAATGGAAAAATTGTGTTCACCATGTCATCAAGATAGTAAACGAATATTTTGCCCGTGGAGGATCTCTGTATAATGATCTCGATAAACTTGTCATCTCACTAAGCAATGATAGTTCCAGTGAAACTGAAGAGTCAAAAATAGACCAATTTAATTATGCAGGAGCTTCAGGCAACATTTCGAGAGTTGAATACCTCGACTCATGACTCAGACTAATAATCAAAATATAATAACTATGCATCAACATTTTTTTGTTTTATTTCTTCACCTTGAGTGTCTGCTGTCTGTCAAGGCTGGTCTTGTGTAAAACCTTCTTTTCCTAATTACTTGTAAGTTATTCAAATTATTTCAATTATTAAGTACGTGAATTTAGCTAATTACTGTTGCTGGGATATACAAGGGTCAAGGGTTACTCATACCAATAAAAACATGCACTCGAAAAAGTATGACAGTAAAGGGAATAATAAATCAGTTTATAAAATAAAAAGTATCAAGACTTTTCGGTTGAAATCTATGGGGATGCCGTATAAAAGATAGTGGCGCCCTCCTTTTTTTTCATGAGTTTCTTGACAGACTGTACTTCTGTTTGAGGCTAAAAAAGGAAAAGAAGATTACCATCAAGAGATAAATGCTGAGTGTTTTGAGGAGTGGTTTAGTGGGGTTTTGCCCAAACTAAAACCTAAAATAACGGAGCGTGGAGTCACTGTTTTACGTTTGCCCCCCTTACCATTATGAGCTTGACTGATTTGGGTGCAGGGTACGTTGCAAGAAACAACAAGACCTTCAAAATGAAAGATGTAAAAAAACTTTTCGAAGAAGGACTAAATGAAGTGACTGCCGAAAAATGTAGTAGCTGCGTGGCTCACATAATAAAAGAAGAAGACAAAATGTTTAATCTCGACCACATGATCGATAATGTCTCTGACAAGTTTATATTAAATGTTACTGACAGTGACAGTGATGATATTATATCTGATGACGATCAATTAAAAAAATGTAATACTTAAGCATAGTTTTTTTTTCTGAAATCCCTATGACGACATACACTATGGATAATTTTCGCCTGATGAATTGACAACATGGATGTACCTTAAATAAATCTTGACGTAATTTTTAAAACCTTCAGTTAAAAAAATATTTTTTTTTTACCATTCAGTCCTTTTCTTTATCAGTCAGTCATTTTGTTTTCCGTTCAGTCACTTAGTTAACTGTCACTACTCAACACTATTTTTGATTCATCAAAACCTGACAACCCAGTAAACGTCAGGCAGCTTCGTTTAATTAAAAATACGACTTAAGACCAGGTTAGCCCGAGACTAGGAAAAATAGCACAAGGGAAAAGAGGCCCATACGCTACGATACGATAAAAAGATATATCAATCCATTCAGTACTTTCTGTGAAATTCTTTAAAAGACATACATTGTATACTTACTAACATTCATCTTTCGTACAGGTACTTCTTCAGAAGACCCAACAGACTGACGTGAATATTATAGGTATTTTTATAGGTACTTTTATAATTAAGATCCCCCAACATAACCCTCTCATGGTCATGACATATGGTTTTGTTTATGTACAGGGTGGCGAAAATTATCTTTGCCCGGACCAGCTAAATAGCTAGATCGGGCCCTGGGGATGCCTCGATTCCAGTAAAACAGGTCTCCATTTCACTACACTAACCATACGAAACACAGCAGCATTAAGCTGCTATTTTAAGCTGGTATTCGGTGAGAGCGTGGTCCTTCCCCGAGCAACGAGCCAACCCATTCATGCTACAACCAACCTGTATTACGTTTACGTTTGTCGTTTCTCTAATTTATAAAACGAAATCTAAGTACGCGAACGAATTGGCATAGCTAAGCGCTACTGAAATCAGATCTATAAAAACGGATTTTGAAATCGATTTTGAAATCTGAAATCGTATAAATATCGTTTTGCGTTCTAATCCAGAATCGCCAATGACTACAAACAAACCGATAACATTATTTAATTAACTACAATAGTAGATATAAGCACAGATTATATTAGAACACGTAGGTTCATTAGTAAGTAGGGTAGTAATTTAATACTTTAAAAAAAACCGACGAAACGCCGTGTATATTCATCCTTTTTCTTTAACTCAAATTGTCCACTGCAGTGTATAATAAATAATGTATATCTGCCGATGTTTTCAAGACTCTGCATGAATTTTAATTGTTGTGATTCTGTTAAAATATGTCGTACCACAAGCTTTACACATGTCCATTTTCAACCATGACGAAAACTCAGGATTTTGTTCCCACTCAGGTTTATATGTCTGTACGTACTTGCGCTTCATAATTCTATTTCGACCGTCATTCACCAGTACACGCGCACGATAACACCGAGAAATATAAAAAATAAATAACAAAAACAAACATCCGTAGTTCCATTTATACTCATTGCCGGGAATAATTTCTTAAGTTTCAGTAATTCCCCGCGACGTAGTAAGGCTAAAGCGGTTATTAAGCGGGTATAAAGGACGATTTGTGGGGAATTCCCGTAAATTATTTGTGTAACTGGTCGTAAGAGACAAAATAATACAGTTGTGGTAAACATCAGACAAAGTCAACACTAGCTGAACGAATGGAATTCAGTGCCAAAAATAGTACCAAAAATATGCTAAAAGTTGTTTTAAGTTTAAAATTGTACCATAAAGTACCAGATTCTGAAATTATACCAATAAAAATTAAATCAGTTTTACGGAGCGCAAATTATACCAATTTAGTATTGAATATAACAAAAACGGTCACACTGAATTGAAAATGACAGCATGGATTAAGTCTGGTCTGCGTTATAGTTAAGCTATTATTAATTAATAGAAGCAGGCGTTGCTTTGCGGAAATCCATTTTACTACAGATATTAAAAGTTACTTTGCAAACATCCGCTCAATAAAATAAAATGATGCTTACCTAGTTTGAAGAGCACCTTTCGCCCTCCCTCAATTGCGTGCACTAATCCCAGCACCACTACTCTAGGAAACACACGCTATCGACTATAATACGACACGTATTTCGCCTTTACACGAGGCATCTTCAGGTGATGTAGACTCTGCGGTGGCTGACCGCTAAGTGAGCGGCAAGCCAAACCAGCTGCTATACAACTCGCCGACGCAACCGCTCCCCACTAAAGTAGCGCACACAGTCGCAGCCCTTTATTACATGTGTGTGCTGAAACAGTTAGAGGGTTTCTTGCTGGTTCTTCACAGAACCAGGAATAAACAGATTTTTTCCGCAACGATGGAAAAATAAAAAATGATTTTCAATAAGAACTAGCTATTACCGGCGGCTTCGCTCGCATGGTCACTGGGAAATGAACTATCCATTGCTTTTTGAATTGAAAAAAAACTGAGTTTTATAGATTTGTCAGAGATGCAGCCATTAAAAGGAAACTGAGCAAAATTGATTCGTCAGCCTATTTAAATGTTTTGAAACGCAGCGTATAGGAAAGCATGAAAATAGCCTGTTTATTCCAAATGGAAATGGGATATTTTTTTAATTAAAGGAAACTGAGCGTAATTATCCGTCAGGGATGCAGACTTTTGAAAAGAAACTGAGCTAAATTGATTCGTCAGAGATGCAGTTTTCTGAATTGAAAGGAAACTGAGCCAAATAAAAGATTAGAGATGAGTTTTGAGTTGAAAGGAAGAGTTAGTCCGTCAGAGGTGCAGCATTTGGAATTGAAAAGAAACTGAGCTAAATAGGAAATTTTGAATTGAAAGGGAAGATCTGTGGGAATACTGATTGATTGTGGGAATTTTGGAAAAAAAAAACTAACTGAACACTATTTTAAGACGCTACTGTACACAATGTTATATGTTTTTCCATTCGGGGAAAAAATGTGGAGATTCTGGGCATTTGACACACGCGAACATGCTACATACAGCTGACCATGAGAGAAGCACGGTTTTTATAAGTTGACCTCCGCTACCTGTAACGTTTGCCCTTGCGCTTTATTAATTGTTATTTGAGCTTAATAGGGAACTGCAAACTTTTGAATTGAAAAGGAGTCTGTGGGAATTATAGGGATCCTTGGTATAATAACAATTTCACCTTTTCCTACGCCTGTCAAAATTGTAGCACCGATAATGTTCCGTCCAAGATGTGTCACACGCAGCCTTGTCCCGTTACATAACCGAGGAGCATCTAAATTTCGCATTAGCATGACGGGGACGCTTAATTTTAATTGAAGCTTATGTGAGGGCACACCTGACAATTCTAGAGAATGTAGAAACTCTACGGGATATGAAGTGCTCTGTTCTGTGTCCATAACTGTGTCTACTGACAAATACTCTGTTATTTCTCCTGCTACATCACTTAATATATCTGAATTTATTTTGTTAACGCTCACATTTTTTGGTGCAAGAATCGCCCTTTCACATAACGTTGTTCGTTAAATCTGAATAAACGCTCGCAATTAATTCGGAATGACTCTGTACTAAATTACAAAAATCTCTCGTTAATTTAACGCAGCCCTCAGCATCCGTTTCCAACCGCCCATCGCCAATTTTTAATAGTGTGTCAGCATAGTTTCCAGCATTGATATCATTATACAAATGCACTCTCATATTCGTAGTTAAACTGAATTTTGTCAACTTGTTCCAT